AAGGAAGGAAGGAAGGAAGGAAGGAAGGAAGGAAGGAAGGAAGGAAGAGAGAACACCAGTCCACACTTGTATCCTTTCTACCCTGTGAGTCTGCTCTATTTAGTTCCTGATACTCTCTATGTGAGAAGGGAAGGGAAGGAAATGGGTGCGATTGGCTAGCCATGGGCCAATAGAAATAGAAAATCACATGGCTGTCTTTTGAAGGCACCAAGAATTGTAGGTAGGTCTTGGGAGAAAGGGAAGGAAAGTTCAAATTCCCTCTTTACACAAGAAAAGAAGGAGGAATTCACAGAATAAGCCTCAAAAGATTGTGTGTTTGTATTTGCACTGCATATATGCACCACCAACCCACCTGGAACCGCCATTTAGTTGCTGTTTGATACTCATCTCCCTAATATTCTGATTTTATTTTACTCTTACAACAATCCCACTTACAAGGTAAGTTGGGTGGAGAGACAGGGACTGGGGCAACTTGTAGCACACTGAGAATTTGACCCAGGATTTGCAATATTGTTCTTCGAACGCTAGTGCCAGTCCTGACCTTCCAAGAGTGACATTCTCTCTACCCAATTCTTCTACAGCCCCAAAGAAATGACAAGTGGGACAGAGAATACCAGGCACCTTAACTGCCAAGGAACACCTGACTCTCAAAATCCACAAAGGGGCATCGCTTTCTTCCAGGGTCCAAATGATTCAGACAACTATTTGTCTGAAATTGTGTCTCCCGCTTGAGTGGGGGTTGGATTAGAATGTCTCCAAGGTCACCTTCCAGCTCTATTGTTCTATGTTCCGTGTTCTAAATCTCTTCTTTCAAACAGTTTCCTAAAAATAACCTGGAGGTACCATTTCTGACAGAAGAAAGACTGGCAAACTCATTTACAATTGAATTAACTAGTGAAAAGTTTACGAACAGAGCAAGGAAAGCCTCAACAGACCCTTCTGTCCCACTTCCAAAAAGACCCATTCTGACCCAATTATTCCTCCCACATGTCCTCCCCCACCATGACTACAATCTAGCTCACTTGGGTCCCCCCCTTTACCTGGAGATGTCTCCCCAGTACCACTCTGCATCTTGCAGGGTTGTGCCATTCCCGTTGGTTAGAGAGACTGCTGCAGGTTTCGCTTTGGGTGGCTTCGGAGGCAGAGCTAGGAAAAAGACCAGGTTGGCTGAAAGGAACCCTGTCAACTCTATCTTGGAAGACCGCCATACTATTTGAAAAGGAGCATGGAGACCCCATGGTATCTCATCAAGGAAGGCCTTCCATTCATCACCTTCTTTTAACAACCCCATAATCCCTTGCGGGGTGGAGTCTGGGCAACTGAATGGAACTAGCAGTGCGTTTAATGGCCAGATGCCCTTCCTGCCGCCAATGCGGAATTTTGTTCAGCAGATTTATTCTCAATTGTGCCCAGAGAGAGAAATATCTGCCTCTACCTAGGATTGAACTCACGGTCTCCTGATTGTGAGGCGAGAGCTTCACCTCTAGGCCACTGCACCACTCCAAGGAAGTCCTCCCATTCCTCTCAGTTATATGCAGAAAGGTCAACCCACCAGTGGTGGGATTCAAATACTTTTGCCACCAGTTCGGTGGGGGTGGCTTGGTGGGTGCGCTTTGCGTGCACGTGTGTGCCAAATGAGCACTTTGCACAGGTGCGGAGGCGTTCTAACTCACCTCCTGCAAAGCCTGTACTCTCCCAGTCGCCTCAGCAGCTGCCGCGCGGCGCTCTTCTATGCTGCGCAAAGCAGCTGCGCTTCAAATTCAGCGCATAAAGGTGAGTATGGGAGCTCAGGTGGGTGGGTGGGGCCCCACAGCGGTGCGGCGGAGAGAAGCGGTTTGGTCTCCGCTGCTCATTGCTGCTACTGGCTCGCCAGAATAGGGCCAAACCGGTAGAATACCACCACTGCAACCCACCCTGGAGGGGCTTAATGAACTAGGGACCCTGGAGGGGCTTAATGAACTAGGGACTTTGGCATTCAGCTTTTGCATACGCATACACACTTTCTAGCCTTCTTCAACCTGTTGCTCTCCAGATGTGTTGGCCTTCCACTTCCTAGCCAATGAGGCTGCTCAGTACATCTGGAGGGAATCTCTGGGGAAGGCTGCTGCCATGTTCCAACAACATCCACTTGTCTCCTTGGCCAAGCACTCCTTCCTCATAATCCCTTCTCCTGCACCATACACAAAGACACAAGGGTTCCCTACCTGGAGGGGGAAGGTCTGGCTCAGTGTCCTTTGTCTGCAGAAGGGTCTCCAGGAAGTGGTTTGGAAAATCAGGTGTTGCCTCAGAGCTGTAGGAGAAACAGGACAAGGTTATGCATCGGAGTGCATGGGAGCAGCAGCTCAGCAGCTCAGCTAATGAAAGAAATCCAGAGCTCCTCACTCTGCAAAAATAATTTCGGAACATACAGGTTTTCCTCTTTCATTGACAGAGAATATTTGGTAAAATAATTTCTGAACATATAGGTTTTCCTCTTTCATTGACAGAGAATATTTGGTAAAATAATTTCTGAACATACAGGTTTTCCTCTTTCATTGACAGAGAATATTTGGTAAAATAATTTCTGAACATACAGGTTTTCCTCTTTCATTGATAGAGAATATTTGGTAAAATAATTTCTGAACATACAGGTTTTCCTCTTTCATTGACAGAGAATATTTGGTGAAATAATTTCTGAACATAGTTTTTTTCCTCTTTCATTGACAGAGAATATTTGGTGAAATAATTTCTGAACATACAGGTTTTCCTCTTTCATTGACAGAGAATATTTGGTGAAATAATTTCTGAACATACAGTTTTTTTCCTCTTTCATTGACAGAGAATATTTGGTAAAATAATTTCTGAA